CAGCATTTATCTGAAATAGAAATCTTTTGTAACATTATAAATGTCTTTATCATCACTTTTGATCAATTTAAAGCATCCTTGCTAAATAAAACTATTAATTTTGATAATTTCTTGAAAAAATGATACTAACTCCAAGCTTTTGAATGCTAGTGTATAATGTTACAAAAGCTTTTTGCTGCTCTTTGGATCTTCATCAAAGAATCCTGAAAAAATTCTACTCAGCTGTTTTAAATATTAATAATAATAATAATTAGAAATGTTTCTCGAGCACCAAATCAGCATATTAGAATGATTTCTGAAGATCTTTTAAACTGTAATAATATTTCATAATATTACTGCTTTTTCTGTATTTTGGTGAGCAGAAGAGAATTCTCTAAAAAACATTAAAAATCTTACTGTTACTTGTTCAAAACCTTTGACTGGTAGTGTACAAATATTAAGGGTCTCATTTTTCTCTAAATTAAAATTCAACTGAATCGCCATTGGCTGGTACATTTTTTTAGTTTACTCGCATATATATATATATATATATATATATAAAGTGAGTAAAAAAAAAAAGCCGTATCATTTGATCGTTTGGATCTGTTCATAAACACATCCATCGTATGACTTCAGAAGAGGGTTTGCTTTAATCGTTCTCTTATTGTTTTTTTATCTGTTTTGTAATGTGTCCAGATTATTCTTAAATTCATCTTTTATGTCAGACCGGTTTGAAACGACACAAATGATATAAATGCTGGTTTTGTAAATAATGACAGAACAGTTGATGATATAAATGTGACCGTGATTGTTCATGAATGTGTGTTTATATGGATCTGAGCGTTCAGTGTGTTTGCAGGGCTTTCAGGGCTTCGGCTTCGGCGATGGAGGCTTCCAGATGTCTTTCGGTATCGGGGCTTTTCCTTTCGGGATCTTCGCTACAGCGTTTAATATCAATGACGGACGACCGCCTCCAGGTGTGTGCAGACTGGCTGATATATCACTAAACACCACGTTTTCACAAAATGAAAATCTATTTTCTAAATGCATGTTGTAGATCTTAATAGTGAACAGTTCATCTGTGCACATGCATAACTGCAGATTCCAGTGAAAATGACTGGATCATTTAGTGCTCTTAAGCTCCGCCCCCACATGCTCACACTCATTTGCATATAACGTTGAGAGCCACGCCCACATCTCAACAACTGATGCACAGAACCAAGCCCCGCCCCACATCTATTCTTTAATGATCATTTGTTACACTCAGATGAAGAGATCTGTCGCTACATTTGTTTCATCGTGACGTTTTTATGCACCAGTATAACGATGCATAGTAATAAACCAGCATTTCTTTTTCGATTCATTGAACCTTATTATACTTTTAGCATTGGTTCATGTAAATCAATTATTTAATATAACACAGTTTATCCTTCTGAGAGATGCTATTAAAATGTGCTCATCTGAGATGAGGATGAGTTTGTTTCTCCATCAGATCTGGAGAAATGTAGCATTGCATCAGTGTCTCACTGCAAGTGAATGGAGAGCTGATAAAAACATCACAATAATCCACTGTGACTGTCTTGTGTTTATCTGTGATTGTACATTATGATGCTTTATTAAGAAGTGTATTAAACGTTTGTCTCTCGGCAGCAGCTCCAGGAAGCCCTCAGCACACGGATGAGCACTTCCTGTCCCGCCTCTTCCTGTTCGTGGCGCTCCTCATCATGTTTTGGCTGCTTATTGCTTAAACACTGACGAACTGTTTATCGTCCTCGTCAGAGGACAGTTCAGTTTTCTTCCCAGATATGATTTTAATAAACACCAGTCTTATTTCACTCACTGTAGCAGAGCAAGTAGAACTCATATGAATGCATAAATAATATACATCCTAACAATAACTTCAGATACATCAGGTTTTCATCGCAATGTCTTTCTTTTGTGCAAAACTGCGTTTGCACAGTGACTCATTTCACTAAAGTCTGTTCTGTTAAACTAAAGTTATGATGATAACTGATTTTACGTATATTTAAACATTTTGGCGCACATCTGACTAAATCCATGTTTGATGATGTTTTTAAATGCACATTTTAATTGGATTTTGATCAAATCAGATGCTAAACAAACATATTTGTAAGCGTTTTTGGTTTGTGTGAGACGACTTTCAACCCAGCTTGCACTGAATCCGTTCGTGACACTAACTGGTTGACTAGTTAACTGTTCCATCACTAAACCGATCATGAGGTTGGTAGAAAGAACGAAGAAGCTTGAGTGTAAGATATTTGATCACCGCATAATTAGTTTTTGTCTTTAAAATCAACTGAGCACTTGTTTTCCATGAGTTCATATTTTTATTTGGAACAAAGACAGTAGAGAACGTCTGGGCTTCTAATGAAAATTAAAAAGAAATGAATGCACTCACTGAGAGTTTGCACCAAGACATGCTGAGAATATATATTTAGAAATGGGTTTGGGTTACTGCATAACTCCCATGTTTCCATCTGTTGTTATTAGCTCTTGTGTCTTTGCTCTGATTATCAGTCGAGTCAGTTTTCCTTGATTCATGCTTTTATGAATCAAAAAACAACACGGCTTCATTAGTCACTGGCAAACATCATATTCATGGTTTATCTGAAAATTCCCCAAAAATGTCTAAAGTGTTAGACATTTAATGCTGAGAATATATATTTTGTCAAATGTGCTGTGATGATATGAAGGCATCTTCTGCATCAGTTTTTCACGTGTTTTAAATCATGCATTTCATTGAATTGTGGGTGACGCTTTATTTTAAGGTGTCCTCGTTACACACATTACACGTACTTACTATTATAGCAACAATTAATTATGCATAATCACATGCAAGTAACCCTAACCATATAGTGAGTACATTAACATTACTCAGCACTAACAAAGACACCTTCAGATAAAGCGTAACCGAATTGTGTTTAGAGTTAAAAGCAATGACTGTAACTCAATGCAGAACGTCCGGACACACAATTAATGCTTTTCTGCATATTTGACGAAACAGAAGGCGAGGCCATTTATTCCAGCATTCATACAGAAACCAAGCACCTTCTGCTCTAAACCGCTCGAGGGGCTTCGACAGTAAAAAACGAGTTTGTGTTCAGTGGTCTTTGAACTCTGCGTCAAACATGATCTGCTGGATCTGCATCTTGACGGCGGCTCTTTTCTGCGGCGTCAGTCTTTTGAGCGCAGCGACGTAACTCAAGAGAAACAGCTCGTCCTCGTCGAACGCTCGCGCGGCTTTCTCGCAGCTCTTCAGCGCCTCGTTCTCCTCCGTCTTCGCGCTGAGGTTGCTGGTGTTTGTCATGACGGCCAGCGGCTGTGGAGTCGAAGCGGACGCCTGCGACACCTTCAGTGCAGGAGGCAGACCGGCGAGCAGCAGCTGGGTCACCGGCGGGACCGGTCTGACGGTGGACACGGGCTTGAGCTGCTGCTCCGACTCCGGGATGTTGAGCAGGAACTGCTTGCTCTTTGCTCTCGAGTCGTCGCCGCTGGACTCGTCATGCAGCTCCTCTGGAGCCTCGGCTTCAGCGCCACGCTTCCTCCTCCTGATGTGAGCGTCCAGAAACGCCAGGCTCTCTCTGTGTGGCCAGTAATGCAGGCGCCGGCTGCCCTCCTCCTTCCTCAGCTTGCACAGCCTCCGCTCTCGGATGTATCTGTCCCTGATGGTCTTCCATCTGCGCTTGCACTCCACCACTGCAGACGCAAAAACACAGTCAAATCAGTGTGAACCGCGGCGCTTCTGGAGCCCTGGACCTGCGAGTCTCTTGAGATCGGATTCAGGAAGATTCACACCTGCAGCTTTTTAGACTCTTTCTCAAGCGCTTCACGCCAAACCAGCCACGAACACACATTCCTCTGCTCAGAAACTCTTATTCAGAAAACAGACGCTCCTGGAAGAATTGCAGAATGTTTATCACGGATTAAGCTGAAAGATTGCATGTGATTTGTATTGATGTTTTTGCATGAGTGTTTCTTAAGCTAATGTTAGCTTGTTGTAGATGATGTACTGAAGTGATGATTGCTGCTGATTTGGCGTTAACACAGAAATACATAAATGCTGCTGAGACAATGACTGTAATCTTCACGAAGTATTTTCTGTTATTTGATGATGCATATTATATCCAGGCAATCAGATGAGCGCAGAATAGCAACGCAAACTAAACGCGTAGCGCGCATCTGTATCTGCTCGAATATGAGATATGCATCATCAATAACGCGTGGACCGACTCTGATCTGCTCATATCTCCGTCTTGCTGCGTTAATGCAGTGTTTGGATCTTCCAGCGTCATAAAGCTTCACTCGCGCGTTGAATCCGACGCGTTTAGAAAGGACGCGCTCGTTATAAAAAGTTGAAATCTTGATCGGATCTGGCTTCAGGAACTCAAGAACGCGTCCGGAACGAATCGCTGTAACCTCACGAGAGCGTCCATCATTTAAAGCGCGTCAGATCACAACGCGTTCTCGAGTGTCGCGTCGCTCGTGGTATACGTGCTGTGGAATTTCATCAAAGTCTGCAAAACAGAAACACTTTTACAGTAAAACGCTTGGCGTGGAACGCGCGCGTAATGTTGACGCACTGACCGGAGAGCCCGACGCACGCGGCGACCTCCCTCCACGCCTTCACCCTTCGCTCCGAGCGGCGATAATCGTGCAGCGACGCGTTATAGAGCACCGGGTACGCGTGCACCGTCTGGATGAGCTTCTCCGTCACGGCCATCGAGTTTATTGACTTGCTGCTGAGACGCGTCGAACGGAACGCGCTCCCGGAATATGGAAGGCGGACGCTCGCGTCAAAAGTGCGCGACACGTCATGGCGGGATTCTGGGCCAATGAGATTCCGCTGTGGGCGGGACTAAACGGAGCGTCGCGTCACAAATACAAACAACAAGCGTCAGTCAAAAGGTCTTCGCGGTTCATGCGTCGACGCTGATGAAAACAATAGTAATAATATTATTATAGCAAAATAATCATATTCAGACTTTTTTCTTGCAGCACTGCAGGTTTTACACGTCTTAGATCAGTTTTAAAGAGTTCAATAATTACACACATTAGGATCTTACACAGAACGCGTGCGAAACAACATTCAAGAAGAGTGAAAGTTATGCGGTAAAAGACTGAATTACATAAAGATTGTTCTGAAACAACATTTGCTTCAGCGTTTTCTGGTGCACAAACATCTGAGCATATTCAAGATCTCATCCATGCATTTAAAACCTTCACATGCATCCATAACTGTAAAGCAACAGCACTGAAATGGAGAAAGTAACAGAATTGTAACTAATAACAAATGATGGAGATAAATGCATGTTCAATAATGACACCTGATTCAGTGAAAGAGCCTGAACTAAAAGATCTCAAAAATGTTCGGCATCGTTTTCACGACTGTCACTTTTCACTCTGCTTTCATTTGTCATTCCCTTCAGTGTGATAGATAATAGTATGCAAAGATTTTCATGTAAGCATAAAGGAAATATAACAAAACCACCATAACACTTGAAAACGAATGTGAAGAATGATTTTTATAATGTTATATACTATATTATATATATATATATATACAGGTATATATATATATTATTGGGTTTTTACATTACAAGATTTTTATATTTTTTTATTTAATGAATCTGTAGTGTAAATCAGTGTTACCGTACACCCATGAACCTCAAACCAAGATGGCCGTACGTGTGTGTTTGTGTTTACTTGTCTAGTGCAACTAAGCTCACTATAATCATTATTAGTGTGTTTGAGTCACCTCTTTTATATCTTTTTATTTTTGGATTTTATTAACTAACTGCAGACCACCTCGTACTATTAAAAATGTGGGCAATTATGCTGATATGCCTACTGTATTCCATGGTTTGGAGGCTACCGGTGGTTGGTGTGGATGGTGTGTCATCTACTGTAAAGCGGGAGAGACACACTCCTGTGCTATGTCTCTGGGCTCCATGTGCTAACATCACGGCAGTACACTTTAGAGAGCTGTTTGTAGTCGATGTGGATGGCGTGCCAACTACTGTCAAGTGGGAGAGACATGTACCTGCGCTACATCTATGGGCTTCTTGTGCTGCTGCAGAACGGTTTGGAGATCTGGCTGGGTTGCTGAGGGGCCTTGAACTTTCCTTCTGTGGGTTAGTCTGGTCACGAGACACACCAAACAGGTTGCACTTCCTCTTGGTCAGAGGAAATGGAAAACTGACACATTATGCTACATCTATCTGCGGCGATAGCAGACCGAGCTGTGGCTTGGTAAGGAGAAAGTGGATTTTGCTTCTGCTGCTGATTTCAGGTAACATTCATCCCAACCCAGGCCCAGAGCTGGCCCAGCTTAAAACACCAGAGGAACTTAAATTGAATAATGGTTCAATTTAACGATTTTTTCATCTTAATGTCAGAAGTTTGATAAATAAGTTGGATTCAATTAGAATCTGGGCAGATTCGACTGATGCTGACATCATGATCTTTACAGAAACTTGGTTGAAAAAAACAATTACAGACAATATGGTACACATAAATGGATATAATGTTTTTAGATCTGACCGTGGTAAAAAAGGAGGAGGGGTTGCAATCTATACTAAATCAAATGTGAACTGTATTTGTAGTCTTTCAGTTAGTTTTTTAAAGTGTTTTGAACTTTTAGCTTTAAAAGTATTTTTACCTAATGGATCTGATATGATGGTGGTGGGTTGTTATCGCCCGCCTTCAGCTTCAAGTAAGGCAATTCCTTTGCTTACGGACATGCTTCACAGATGGACTACCTCTGATTTAGTTTTAATGGGGGACTTAAACTGGGACTGGCTATCTCAGTCATCAGACTCATTTAAGGATATTTGTAACTCGCTATGTCTGGAACAACTGATAAACTCACCAACTCGTCTAAATGGAAAGGACATGAATAAATCTTTGATTGATGTTATTTTAACTAATGTACCACATGTTTTCTCTGCAGTTGGAATTTTTTGCAACGATATTAATGATCACTGTGCAATATCCTGTGTGAGAAATTTTAAAATGCCTAAGAGTCCACCTAGATATATATATAAACGACAATTTAAAAATGTTAATGTACAAGCTTTTTTGCATGATGTGTATAATAGTAACTTAGGGTTAGTTTTAAATATACCTGATGTGGTGGTAGCTTGGGATTATTTTAAATCTTTTTTTTTTTTAATTTGTGATAAACACGCTCCTTTCCGTAGATTTCGGGTGAGTGGAAAAAATAATCCTTGGTACAATGAAACCATCTCAAACCTTGTTAGGCAAAGAAATGTAGCTTGGTCAAAAGCAAAGAAAACAAATAGTGTAACTCGCTATGTCTGGAACAACTGATAAACTCACCAACTCGTCTAAATGGAAAGGACATGAATAAATCATCTTTGATTGATGTTATTTTAACTAATGTACCACATGTTTTCTCTGCAGTTGGAATTTTTTGCAACGATATTAGTGATCACTGTGCAATATCCTGTGTGAGAAATTTTAAAATGCCTAAGAGTCCACCTAGATATATATATATAAACGACAATTTAAAAAATGTAATGTACAAGCTTTTTTTGCATGATGTGTATAATAGTAATTTAGGGTTAGTTTTAAATATACCTGATGTGGTGGTAGCTTGGGATTATTTTAAATCAAATTTTTTTTTTAAATTTGTGATAAACACGCTCCTTTCCGTAGATTTCGGGTGAGTGGAAAAAATAATCCTTGGTACAATGAAACCATCTCAAACCTTGTTAGGCAAAGAAATGTAGCTTGGTCAAAAGCAAAGAAAACAAATAGTGAAGAAGACTGATCTCATTATAGATTAATACGGAACAAGTGTACAAAATGTATAAAGAGTTCTAAAAGTCAGTATTATCGTAATCTGATTAACAATAATATCAGAATCAGAATCAGAATGAGCTTTATTGCCAGGTATGTTTACACATACAAGGAATTTGTTTTCGTGTTTTAATTTGAGTCTATGCACCAATGTAATTCCGCCGTCTTGGAAATCCGCTATGGTTATGCCATTACTAAAGAGTGGAGATCCCTCTGATTTGAATAATTATCGTCCTATTTCTAGACTACCAGTTTTAGCAAAAGTGTTTGAGTCCCTGGTAAATGACCAACTGAAAGATCACTTAGTTAAACATAATATTTTAAATCCATTTCAGTCAGGATTCAGAGCAGGCCATAGTACGACAACAGCTACTACATTAGTTACAAATGATTTAATCACTGCTCTTGATAAAAGGCAGCATTGTGCCACCTTATTTGTTGACTTGACAAACGCATTTGACTTAGTGGATCATGCACTACTGCTACAGAGGCTTAAAGGTATAGGCCTTGGTAATTTGGCATTGAGTTGGTTTAAAAACTATTTATCGGACAGAACTCAGTGTGTTTCTGTAGATCATTATGCTTATAATATGTTAACTGTTAAGAAGGGTGTCCCACAAGGTTCTTTATTGGCACCACTTATTTTTTCTGTTTTTATTAATAATTTAGGTCAGGGAATAAACTCTGCGAAGTTAAATTTTTATGCTGATGATACAGTTATTTATTCAGCTGCATCCTCTTTGTCTCAAGCCATTGAAATTCTTCAGGACTCTTTTTATACTTTTCAGCATACCTTACTACAACTGAAATTAGTTCTAAATGTAAATAAAACTAAATATATTATTTTTACTCGTAGTCGATCTTTGTCCTCTGATCCATCAATTCTTACTATTGATGGCCTGCACATAGAAAGAGTAACAGCTTATAAGTATTTAGGAGTATGGCTTGACGAGAAGTTAGCTTTTGATGTACATATTGATTACTTGGTGAAAAGACTTAAACCAAGATTGGGTTTTCTATTTCGGCAAAAAAAATGTTTTTCCTTTGGAGCTAGAAAGCAAATTACACAGAGTACATTTTTACCCATTTTTGATTATGGAGATGTTATTTACATGCATGCTTCTACGTATTTTTTGAAAAGGCTGGATAGTGTTTACCATGCTGCATTGCGATTTATAACAAATGCTTGCTCACGTACTCATCATTGTTTGCTGTATAATAAAGTAGGTTGGTCCTCTTTATATCAAAGAAGGAAATCACATATGTTAGTGTATACTGTAAAGGCATTGTTGGGCATGCTTCCAAATTACATCTCTAGTCTTTTATGCCATTTTGGCCAGGACTCCCTGGAAGAAGAGATTTATTTTATCTCAATGAGACCTTCCTGGAAAAATAAAGGATAAATAAATAAAAAAAAATGGATTATTATTTAGATATTATTAAAAAAATGGATTAACATTTTGAACTATTATTTTATATTTTCCATTTTCATTTTAGTTAGTTTTAGTATTTTTGTTGTGCATTTTGTCATTTATATTAGCTTATATATATATATATATATATATATATATATGTGTGTGTGTGTGTGTACCTGGTATTTATCACGTTATGGGGACCAAATGTCCCCACAAGGATAGTAATACTAG